GGGGAATTCTGGCAGTTGAAGTCCACTCATCTTAAAGTTGCCAAGGTTGAGAAACACTGCTCTATAGCCTCTATTTACAAGCCAGTTAGCCAAAAGCTAGAGCAGACAGCCCTCCTCCCGGTTTGATCAATCATCTGTGCACCATGGGAGGAACGGGATATAGCCGACAGCAACATTCTGGGATGTTCGTCACTAAAAGAGGCAGCCCAGATCCTGAAGAGGAGGAAAGAATATCGGAACGGGTAAACCTGGGACTTTTCGGTTTAGGAGAGATCTCTGTTGGCTTCCTAGCACTGGTTAGGACCCAGGGCTGCAAACACATAACAAAACCTTCTACCTTTGCAGGGGTGGCAAGTCACGAGGCCCAAGATCCTGAGAAGGCTGATCTTGTTGTCCGGGTGTGAGGAGTTGGACCACGCCATGTCCGTATTGCCATTGGCACAACATTCTTCCCAAGTGACCCCGGTCTGGAGGATCATCGTGCACTTGGCTTCCCGTCCTTGCTGCAACCAGCAGATCCCAACTGTAGGGAGAAAGGGAAACAGCTGAGACCTCTTTTTATTTTTTTAGTGGAAGATGTTTTCCCTAAGTAAAAAACAAAGCCAATCAAGAAAATTAGAGAAGAAAGAAAGAGAAGAAAGAAAAAAGATAATAAAGTGCAAAGAAAAAAAACAGAAGAGAAAGAACTAAAGAAAGTAAAGTAGACGATGGGTTTGTTAATATCTGTTGGATTTCCAACCTTTTTTCCAACAGATATTAACAAACCCATCGTCTCTCCTCCCTCTTAACTCTTCCAGAAATCCCGTCAACTCCTTATTTAATCCTCATCTTTTTCAATCATTAAATCCATAAATCATCATTTCACTTTTTTCTTCGTTTATCAAAACGTCCATAAAAGGTTTCCGGTCTTTCAAAAAAGCACTTATTGTTTTCTCACGGGGTATATGCAATGGGTGATGAGCTGATGGAACTCGCTGTTAGCTTAAGCGAAATAAAACCGAGAAGCCCATTTTGGAATATTAGCCATAATAGCTACAGGGTATCTCCATTTTCAAAGGCAGTCTCTCTCATTTTCAGTCACATAAAAAAGGCAAACAGGGGACAGAAAGGATGACACAGGTGGATGGGACGGTGACTGAAAGTATGTTTAAAAAGATGGCATGTCCCTAACCTCAATACTCAAATACTGAACTAAATGTTGTAAGGCATTCCAATAGGTGTTGACTTAAATTAACATTTTATTCAGGTTCATGAGGACTGGAACCTTAGTTTATTTTCAGTGGAAGGGTCATAGCTTAGTGGCCGAACAGCAGTTTTTGCAGGCAGAATGACACACAGTGTGGTAACTGGGCTAAAATGGGCCTGGATCATTTGCTATTTAGCATCGGACCCAGAAAACAATTATAGAATTGATTATAGAAAACAATTGGCATTGTTTTCGCATGAGGTGTGAACCAGCCTTTCACCTTATGCCATGAAAAAATTTACTTGGGATATAAAGTCACCACTCAGGAGTGTCTACAGGTTGTGGTCAAAAAAGTCAAGATAGAGGCTCCATCTGTTTCTGATGTGCTTTGATTGTGCTGTTGTGGCTGCCATCTTGACTTTTTTGACTATACCCTGCAGACATCCCTGCCACCAATTGTGTTATGCTAACCTTCATTTAACTAGGATGGTGCAAAGCCATCAGGTCAACAACCAGATACCAACTGGAGATTCTTTAGTTTGAGCAAAGTTTAGATTCCAGCTTTAGTTCCATTCCTGTGATTTTAAGATTTTAGCAGAATTGGGATTGAGAAAGAGGTCTGCAGAACAGCAGAAATGTGGGAGAACTAGCTGATGTAGACAATACAGAACTAAATGCAGATATATTGCAAGGAGGAAAGCTATGAACATGGTTGCTTTGCATTTCAACAGTATCTCTAACTAATTTGTACTTCCTAAATTTATCTGCAAATCGGAATGAAATTAACCTCCGGCTTCCACAGTTCTCCAAACATTGTAAGGCGGTTCTTCTACGTAAAACAAAAAGGATCTAAACATGCTTACAGAAAATATGTTTAATTCATGTACCATAGACATCCAGATTGCATCCAAAATGCTTTTATATATTCGGGTAAGCCTTTTGTAATGCTGTTTATATGAAATACATACTGTACAAATTTTCAGACTGTTTGACCTGGTACAATATTGCTTCTATAAATCCCCTTGAGACCAGCTTTTTATTAACAATGATGAATTCTGCAATTTTAGGATTATGTCTGGGTTGCGGATATCTGCATGACTGCTAGATGACACCAAAAAATTAGAATAATCCAGATATTTGCAATCCAGACAGGGTAGCGGGGTCACTATCTAATAAACCTAAGTCCAAACCTGTTTCCCATTCCTCTGGTTAATTAAGTTCTGACCATCATCCACCCAGCAGGTATGTAACTACTTCCAAGCCTACATTTAGCCCTAGTTGGGCCATCATCTGCATAGAATAGATGCATAGATCCCAGGGCTTCCTTTGATGAAGAGACTTCACAACAAACCATTGAAAGATTGGCAATTGTGAAACTGAACTGAAAAATGTGTCTCATTCGGTCACCGAAGAATTTTGCAAAAGGAATTTATCTTTCTGTAAATATTTCCATTTCCAATTCCAGAGTATTTCCATTGCTGATTTGTATAATTCTTTTGGGGGGGAGCAAGCTACATCTGTCTAATTTCCATCCGTTGGGCGCTGTGCATTTAAAGTTGGGGGGCGGTACTGCCGACCAACCCTTCTGCCAGAGAGGGGGAGAGCTAAGAGTTTGTCCCAATTTTTTCCCATTGGGAATATCTGCAATTTCAACTGGGTTACAAAATAGGATTTTGCACCTAAGTCTTCCTCTGTTGCATTTTCAGACCAAAGCATCTTAAGATACATCAGAGACAGAAGACCTAAGAAAATATCCCACCAAGGACTAAAGACGGATCATAGCCTGATTTAGCGTAAGGTGACTTTGCATGCTCATACATATGGCGACAGATGTCGTCTTAGAAGAAGCGTCGCTTCTGGCATTTCAGAGAATGGAAAGCTTTCACGTTTGCTGTGAGACAGACGCTTCTCACGCTGCAGAATCACGGCACCACCTTAGAAGAGGCCTTCCATTCTGCAAGGGAGGGAATTGGGAATACCTTTTCTAAAACTCACACAAGACGTACATTAGAAGCCATCTCACCCAGCTTATTGCAGTCAGGCTTTCAAAGAAACCAGGCTTTTTAACTGACCGGTCTCATGGATCCAAGGTTGGAAGCCCCCAGTGATACAAGTGGAAAGACAGGCACCTGTCATTTCGACTCAGACCAAGAGTGCACAAGAGGGTTCACTTGGGCTTCCTCCTCCTTATGTAAGGACGGGACATATGCCCCACATCGTCGCTCAACCTGGACTGAGAACTGAAGGTTTGTGCCTGATGGCCTTGTTGACCTCTGCAGACCTGGTATTCTGGCCTCAGGGCCTGAACCTTCAAAACAAAGTCCTGGGTTGAACCTTAGTAACACCAAGGTCAGTCCTGCCTCATCGGGGCTGAGCATCCTGGTCTATTCGACAGACAGACCAGCTTTGTTCTGTTCCCAGAGGGGAGAAGCTTTGACAAACTGGAAAAGGAGTGGGTGGGTGGCGTAGGCGAGGGAAGAGCAGGGAAGGGACCGTGGGAGGTCTGTCTGGGACTT